ACAGAAATAACTGACTTTAAACCATTTTTTAGCTGGTGAAAATACTAGTGTTCTAATAATTCTGGCCACCACTGTATATCTTTTAAAGTGCCCCTATTATGCAATTTTTAAGGTTGCTAATATTGTTTTATGAGTCTCCTAAAACAGGTTTACATGCATGCAAGGTCAAAAAATACATTCGTTTTAATTTGACGCCATTTCTAAATTATTCGTAAACGACTCGTGCGAAGCAATTCAAAGAATCAGTCTCTCTAAACCCCTCCTTTCCGTGAGCCCTCACTGCTGTGATTGGTCCAGAGCCGTAGAGAGATTGGTTCTGGATTGGTCTAACGCGCACAGCGCGTGTCGGAAACGAAACATTGCCATGACGGAATGACAGCCCTGGGGCCGGTTGCACCAGCTAGACGTAAAAAATCTGGGTGTAAATCCTACACTGGGCTCACATACAGCTACATGACACACTGCATGAAACGTAACATTCGAAAAGGCATAATAGGGGCACTTTAAAGTAAATTTCAAGTAAATTATCAGTATTTTGTCATTTTTAGATTAAAAAACACCTTTAAATCAAAATAATTAATTTTACTTAAGAAACAAAGTTTTATATTTGTTTTATTTTTCATTTGACTTACACATTTTTTAAACTTTAAACTATATATAAACTATATATATATATATATATATATATAAAATGCTGTTTCATCTTTTAAAATGTAATGGATTATTATTATTATTAAAAATAAATGTATCTTGTTCTAAAGATGGTTAGATATTTTTACTAAAGAACAAAGCAAAAACACTGATTAAAAATAATTTTTTGCAGTGTAAAAATCTAGATGTTGCACCATGAGGCCTGGAAAACGTAATAAGATAAATAAATACTGAAATGTAAAAGGTTCTAAATTGTCTGTGGTCAAACGCAAGGCTTTCATTGGTGAGAATGCAGCAGAGGATGTTGGGTGAGTGGACAGTTCAGACAGTCTGGTTTGGCGTGCGGTCAGTGACCCGAGGCTGTTGGCTCAGCTCATTGAGGCAGGGGCACTAGGACCTCGACGTAGTTTATGGGGAAGAAGCCTGATTCGCCGTTAATCATGCCTTCATACCAGTTCTCATCGATCTGATTGGTGAGGATGACGATGTCGCCCTCTTTGAAGCCCAGCTCGCCCTCGTTCTCTGGATCAAAGTCGTAGAGCGATCGACAGCAGGGCTGGTCCAAGTGTGACTCCATCTCTGCAAAGAGGAAAATACAACCACCACACACATTTAAACATTTGTTAAAGTTCACCCATTCACTAAAATCTGTCATTTGTACTTATTATGTTGTTCCGAGCCCATATGTGACCCTGGACCACAAAACCAGTCATAAGTGTCAATTTTTCGAGATTTATACATCATCTGAAAGCTGAATAAATAAGGTTTGTTAGGATAGGACAATATTTGGCCCGAGATACAACTATTTGAAAATCTGGAATCTGAGGGTGCAAAAAAATCTAAATATTGAGAAAATCGCCTTTAAAGTTGTCCAAATGAAGTTCTTAGCAATGCATATTTCTAATAAAAAATTAAGTTTTAATATATTTACAGTAGGATATTTACAAAATATCTTCATGGAACATGATCTTTACTTAATATCCTAATGATTTTTGGCATAAAAGAAAAATCAATAATTTTGACCCATACAATGTATTTTTGGCTATTGCTACAAATATACCCCAGCGACTTAAGACTGGTTTTGTGCTCCAGGGTCACATATGCTGCTTTTTTAATTTTATGATCTTGTCCTACAATGTTCACAGTGACCACGGCTGTCAAACCAGTGTCATTTTAGTACCATTGATATGCTATTATAATTTTTGTTAATATTTTGAATCAGATTTTATGTAAAAAAATTTGTTGTGCATTTTTGTCAAGTTTTTGTTTTTAATATAGTTTTTAAGTTTTAATTTAGTTAATATACTATTATAGTTTTTCTTAATATTTCGAATTAGACTTTATTTTTATATTTGTTGTCATTTTTAAAGTTCAATAATTTTGTGTTTTGTTTTTGTCATTTTTATTAGTTTTTCTTAAGTTTCGGTTTTAGCTTATTTAGTTTTAGCTATTTTAGTACTTCAACTTAAACTAGTTCCTTTATTTTTTTATTTCATTTAGTTAATCTTTCTTTTAATTCAAGTAATGGATTTTTTATGGTTTACTCCAAAAAAGCACCATAAAAGTATAAACATATTATATTCATGTGTTATATTCTCAAGTCCTCCCAAGTTATATTATATTGTAGCTTTAAGCAAGAAACGTAACAAAATTTAAGTTCTTATTACATTTAAGGCTCATTCACATCCAGTATATTCCTTATAAAAAGATATTAAGTATAATGCAATTAAAATGCATAAATATAATGCAGTAACTTGAATAAGTTGCATACACTTTTTTTTTGTCAAGACCCGGTCACTATGAAATTCTTCAGATTTTTTCCCCACAGAAAACAGGTCTGGAATCACTTGAGGGTGAGAAAATTGGGTTTAAAATTAAATATTTACCACCTATGTGCTGAATTCAAACATCCAGTGCAACTAATGGAAAACAGCACAGGGTTACTGAGAGGAAAGTAATAGAAAATCATTTTGAGAGCTGATGTGTGGGCAGATGAGATGAGTGGGTCTACATGAAATCTGTGACCGCATATCTCCAACAAAAGCTCTGCAGAATTCAAATAGCCATTATCGACCAAATACTACAATCTCCTGGCCTCTTCAGGGCCAGGTATCGCCTACTACTTCACTTTCAGTGAGCGTCTAGGCATGAACCTACAGGATGATACTCACGTTTGCTATCACCATTGGGGCTCTCATGCCATGATAGAGTCATGGGTGCTGTGTGTGTGAGCTCATCAACTGAGAGCAAAAACACACGAGATCAAACATGAGAGACAAACACATACACACGATTCAGCTAATAAAACACACTGTTGATGAACATGACCACAAAAAAACAACCATGTCATCTATAAATTACGGATGTGAATTGTAAGGTTGGTTGGTTTTGATTCTGATTCTATTATTTTGCTTTCATCAACCTCTTTATGTTTTCCCAATGTTTCTAGTTTCAAGTCTGATTCATATTTTGCATCATGTGACTGAAATATAAATAGTCCAAACAGGTAAAAGTAATAAAATATTTCCATGATAAACATTACCACCTACTTTTTCCATTTACAGTGTGGTTGACTTGGATATCTGAAAGGAATATGAATGAATATGTAAGAACACATGATGGTGGTGAAATATGTGAGCAACACACAACAAAAGCCATTCATGAAGCTCTAGTTTCTTAAAAAAAACAAAGAACGACAAGCCAGAAGGAAAAAAAACACAAAATGAAACAAGCAATGAAACCCCAAAATAGACTGTATAGCATATGTTCATTATTGCAGAAAATGACATTTTTCCACCAGTCAATGGCTGGTAAATAAATAAAATTATTTTTATTGTTAATATTATTGTTTTGCTAGTAAGCACTGTACTTGCGTTATTTTATTAATAAATATACTGTACGAAAATTCTCAGATCACATAAAAACTAGGAATTTTATATTATGCAATCACAGAAAATAGGATCTTGAAAAATGTTAACAACTAAAAGTTATGTTAAAATACAAAAAGAAACATTAAAGATTCTGCATATGTTCTGACTCCATGCTTAGACTGAAGCACACAAGTTGAGATGTTTTCTTGTTGATACCTGTGCTTTTGACTGATGAGGTGTGGGTAAGTCCATTGTGCTGCGTGGTTTCGACGGTCTCCAAACTGGACACGATCAACTTTGGCTTGAACTCTTTTTTGGGCCGACTGCTTGCAGTGGATATCCTGCAAGAGCAAAATGTATGTGCATACACTCAGTGCATATTAGCAAGAAACCTGCATTTGTTATTGTTGACACTTTCATAACATATCTTCCAATGAAGACAGATCAACAGTAGGCTAGATAACAAAATACATGGAAAAAAACAAAACGAACTTTCACTAGGAATATGGGATCTGATTTGCAGTATGTGTAGCTGAAGATACCCGTTCTGTAGTTTGCTGTCGAGCTCCTTGAGGATCTCCAAGGACTGTCGATGGTAATCCAGCGCTGCCTCAATCAGAGCTGATAACTGACTCACCTGCTCCACCTACAGGTAAATGAAAGACATGACGTTTCCACTGACCCAGAACAGAAACCTTACTGATGCACAATTGCAATATATAATTAACAGGAAAACACATGTAGTGTGCAGCACATACAGAGTATATATACATGTATTTGGACACTCAAACAAAACTTAATAATGTAAGAATGGAATGCAAGAATAATGATGTGATATTTCAATAATAAAGTCCCAAAGTTATGAAGAGTTCATTCAAAATTTAAAATTGTGTCATCATTTACTCACTCTCATGTCGTTCCAAACCTGTATGAGATTCCCATTGACTTGCATAGTATTTCTTTCCCTACTATGGAAGTCAATGGGGACCAACAACTGTTTGGTTTTTCAAAATTCTACAAAATATCTTCTTTTGTGTTCAACATAAGTAAGAAACTTATACAAGTTTGGAATGGCATGAGGGTAAGTAAATGATGACAATATTCAATTTTTGCATGAACTATCCCTTTAAAGGCATAAAGGCATAAATAAATAAATATATATATATATATGTGTGTGTGTATGTATTGTGTACATTTATTATGAATTTATAAATACACACACATACAGCATATATTTTGAGCATATTTACATGTATTTACATGTATATATTTATTTTCATATAATTTATATCATATATAAACATTTAATATATAAACGTAACATATTTTTCTTAAATATATACATGCGTGTGTATTTATATATACATAATAAATATACACAGTACACACACATATTATGTAAACAAAAACTTTTATTTTGGATGCGATTAATCGTTTGACAGCACTAATATATATATACACATATACATATATATATATATATGGTCTGAATACTTTCCGTACCCACTGTACATACACACACACATATACATATACATATTATATATATATATATATGTGTGTGTGTGTGTGTGTATAAATAATTAAATAAAATAAATTAACCGTTCTCATTAGTAATTTTCCTTACATCATTCTCCAAAAAGTTAAACATGCTCCTCTCAGCGAGTTCTTTGGATTCTTCAAACTTCTCCACAGCCTGTTTGATCTCCTCATCAGGAATCTTGCCTTGACGTTTCTTCTTGTAGTCAAAGTCTAACCGTCGACCCTCCAGTTTCTTCAGATGATGCTATCAGGAAATCACATGAGATGTAATCATGTACTTCACTAACCTTAAACACAAACTAAAAATGGACAAACTGCTATCTGTAAATGATAGTGTCTGATAATAGAGGGAATAATAGAGGGTAGTTATTTGTTTGGTCAACATAACACCCACCATAAGGGGGTGTCACGCTCCATGCAGATTTAATCAGCTTTTTCTAGGCCACTGATTTGCCTGGAGTATTCATCTTATGTGAGTTTATATCTTTTCAAACCTCATTTCAAAAGGCCTTCAGGTATAAAATATTTTAAATGTAAAATAATATTGAACCTTTAATAATTCTTTGTTTAAAATGAAGGGTTAATAAAAAAATAACGAAACAGTGTTGTACCACAATCTCTTTGAGGTCTTTGTCTTGTAGAGTCTGAAGTGGGTCAATGAAGTTCTGTTTCACATTGATATCAAGGGCATCTTTAATATCAGCCATCTGCTTCATGGCTTCACCAATGTCCACCAGCGCAGCTCCTGAGAAGATGAGGCAGACATAATAATTTGACTTTCATATAAAAATAATGAAACATTAGGGAAATCGGTACTTTTTTTCAGATGATTTGGGATTGCCCTGGGGTTGCCAGTTTTTGGAATATGGTTAAAGAAAATCTGTCCACTATAGTAAATGTCTCGATCCCTTTGTCCCCTTCTGTCTTTGTTTTAAATGACTTTTTAGCTGGCTTGACAGCGGCCAAGAAAATTGTTGCAATAAGATGGAAGCCTCCACATTCTATTAATAAGCAATACTGGGTTCTCACTTTTATAGACGTGTATCTTGAACTGTCCACTGCTCGCCTTCATGGCGCCAGAGAGGACACCATTAGACTTTGGGCTCATACTTTAGAGAAGCTTAAAGGTTTATTAACTTGAATTAAAGGAATAGTTCACCCAAAACTGAAAATTCTGTCATTAATTACTCACCCTCATGTCGTTCTAAACCCGTAAGACCTCCGTTCATCTTCGGAACACAAATTAAGATATTTTTGATGAATTCTGAGAGCACTCTGACCCTCCCATAGACAGCAATGGAATTACCACGATCAAGGTCCAGAAACGTAGCAAGGCCGGTAAATAATCCATGTGACATCAGGGGTTTACGAAGCTACGAGAATACTTTTTGTACGCAAAGAAAACAAAAATAATGACTTTATTCAACAATTCGTCTCCTCCGCGTCACCCTGGTGCCATTTTGGAGAGTATCCACTGAACTCAAACAGCGTATGCTATTCTGTGTCAGCTGCGCCACGCGGATACATTTTTTTATGCTTTGATTTGAACGAAAACAACGTATCCGCGTGATTCTCGTAGCTTCGTAAACCCCTGATGTCACATGGATTATTTACCGGCCTTGCTATGTTTCTGGACCTTGATCGTGGTAATTACATTGCTGTCCATGGGAGGGTCAGAGAGCTCTCAGAATTCATCAAAAATATCTTAATTTGTGTTCTGAAGATGAACGGAGGTCTTACGGGTTTAGAACGACATGAGGGTGAGTAATTAATGACAGAATTTTCATTTTTGGGTGAACTAACCCTTTAAGGAGATTCAACCCCCCTCCCAAATACACACTTTTTGGTCTCTGGGTTTTTGTTTTATATATATATTTTGATTTAGAGTCGTGTTTAAGGATTCCCTGTTTGGGTTATAATTGGCTCTTTTTCTATTGACGTAGACTTTCAGCGCTGTTCCACTTGTTTGTATGTCAAGATTTTTGTATGGGTATATATTTCTTTTTACATAATCTTTTGTACATGTATAGTCTTTGTACTTTGTATATTTTGGAGTATATTAGGTTTTAAACATTGTTTCGTATATTTCTGCCATTCAATCTTCAGTTTAACTGATTAGTTTTAACCAAATTATTATTATTATTTTTATTTATTTATTTTTAAATATATAATTCTATTTCATTTATCATGTGTTGTTTTTTGTTTTGTTTTTCTGTTGCAAAACTGATTGTTTGTCTGTGTTATTCTGTATATTAAACAATCTCAAAAATTTGATTAAAAATATAAATAAATAATGAAACACTTAAATGTAGAGAGAGAGAGAAATTGTCATATGTATATATATATACACATCTTTTTACTAAAATAACTACATATTAAAATTCAATCAAATTTAATGACAAAAATAACACTTTATTACATAATCACATTATAATGCCTTTTTGTGATAATATGATAATCCAGTGATTAAATACTTTACAAATGAAAGGTACTTATTTCATTATTTTTTTAATTTGCATTTAATGAACACAATTCACAGGGTAAGATTGCAAAAAAAAAAAATGCAACAAAATACCCCAAACAGTAAAACTGTTCTGATTTAAAATTCTAATTGGAGGAGCCGCTTTGGAAACCATTGTAAAATAACCAGCATGTGCACATCTGTGTCTGGCATCAACAAAGCACCACAAGGTGTCAGAGTTGTGTTCAAATGCTATAAGTACAGCAATATTGCAGGAAACACGTTTCACAATGCACAGTGTGCAAGATTGTGTGACTCAAAGAGAGATAGAGTTCTCGAGATCCACCAGCATTCCTTCGCGCTGCAGTGGGATTTCCGTAACCGTCTGCCTGTGGTTCATGTCTGTGCATGCGTGCGCTTGACTGTCGGTATGTGCGGACGTTACCGAAAGTGGACTCCTCCCCCAGTTCCCGTCCATATCGCAGCATGCAATCTCCTAAAAGCCCTTCAGTCTGTGGATAACCCGTCGTCTTCACCTGCCCTCTGATTTTAGACACGGTGTTGAGCATTCCCAGTTTGGCTCTTGATGCTGTGCGGATACACGACATACACTCATGACCACACCAGAAATCATAACACTGCACTCCAAACATGAGTCACTGACTGAGAAATTACAGTAATTTAGTAGCAGCAGTGGAGGCAAGAGAGGCAGTGCCTACTCAAAAAAAAAATAAATAAAATACTGCATGAGAAAATAATCAACACCAAAAAAAAAAAAAAAACATTCAAAATACATGATTAAATAGTGTGTAAATCAATTATATTGTGCAATAGTGATGAAGCTTCAAAGGGAGGTGAGTTTACTGTGTTCTTCTCATTGAGTGAGATAATAATTTTAATGAGATAATGGGCAAAAATCATGTTTGAACAGGTCAGCCTGAATGGATCAAACTAGTAGTAATAATGGATTTAATTACATTAGTTAACAACTTAGCCACTCAACATTGTTGATTAAGTTTAAAGCAACACTCATAGATCATTGAATCTGATTAGACCGTTAGCATCTCACTCAAAAATGACCAAAGAGTTTTTATCAAGGAACTTTGCTGCCGTACCATGGGTGCAGCAGCAAAGTTCCTTGATAAAAACTCTTTGGTCATTTTTGAGTGAGATGCTAACGGTCTAATCAGATTCAATGATCTATGAGTGTTGCTTTAAACTTAATCAACAATGTTGAGTGGCTAAGTTGTTAACTAATGTAATTAAATCCATTATTACTACTAGTTTGATCCATTCAGGCTGACCTGCTGTTTAACTCTAGGGGAGTTGGAAAATGAGCCTAATTTCAAAAATAGTGGAGTGTTCCTTTAAATCAAACTGCACTAAAAAACTGTGAGTGAGCTTGAAATAAAGGTCCACCACCATCATGCCATGAAGTGTTAACCAAGCATTTGATGACTGATGGTATGAATGTTTACTGTATTATTGTAGTCATTTTTAAGCAATGTAAAAAAAAAAAGTTTGGGGTCAGTAAGATTTTTTAATAACTTTTATTAATTATGAATAGGATTGATGTTTCAAATAAATGCTGTTCCCTTCAACTTTCTATTCGTCAAAGAATCCTGGAAAAACATGCATCACAAAAATATTAAGCAGCTCAACTGTTTTCAACATTAACAATAAAAAGGAAATTTTCTTGAGCAGCAAATGATATTAGAATGATTTCTGAAGGATCATGTGACACTGAAGACTGGAGCAATGATGCTGAAAATTCAGCTTTGATCACAGAAATAAATTTCATTTTATAATATATTAACATGGAAAACTGTTATTTTACATTGTAATAATATTTCACAATATTGCTGATTTTACTGTATTTTTGATCAAATAACTGCAGCCTTGTTGAGCAGAAGATAATTTTTTCAAAAACATTGAAAAATCGTACCAACCCCAAACAGTGGTACAATTCTGCTCAGAATTTTTAATAAAGTTTTAATAAATAGTACAGTAGTATAAACATACTATGTTATTATAGCATTTTGTTAAATATAAGGCTAGTGTTTCACAAGACTTCAACCCTGTAATCAAACTAGAACTGGAAGGCCTCGCCTCCTCATTTCAGAAGTCCACTGCACACTGCTGCTTAGTAGGTGGTGTTAATGATATTTAATGACTCAATGAAATCATAAGTGTTATGAATATATCAGATCTGTGATTCATACCTGGGTTTGGCTGAAGGTATTCTGTGGTTTTCGTTATAAGTTCAAAAACAGACTTGTTGGTGACTTCTATTTTCTGTAGAGGTAGGAAAAGGTAAGGGTAAATAAATATATTTGTCATATAAATCACATGTGAAGAGGGGCTAATTTCTGCAGTTTTTTTCTCACCCGCTCCATTTCCATGAAGTCTTCATCAAGCTTTGTCCCTTCTGCACCGCTTATCTTCTCACTCAATAACTAGAAACAGAGAGAGAGAGAGATATTAGATCAGAAACAGGAAGCAGTGACATTAGGTAGGAAGAAATTGCATAACGTTTCCCTGTGTGTACACACTGGGGTGGGCGGAAGAAAAAAATAAATCAATAAAGAGCCTCCATCATAGTTTATTGTAGAAATGATACCTGATGTCACAGGTCTGAATTTAGTTTTGTGTGTGTGTTGAAGCAGCAGTGATAAGATGATAAAAAAATGATGCACATTTATTATTATTATCCTCATAATTTTCATTCAAAATCTAGTTTTACATCACATATTACAATATCAGCTAAAAATTATTATTAGTATTATAATTATAATTTCTAAAAAAAATTATTATTAGAAGTAGTAGTATTATTATTACTATTATAATTTCTTTCCATTTTAAATATACATTACATTACATTTACATTTAGTCATTTAGCAGACGCTTTTATCCAAAGCGACTTACAATTGGGGGATACATAAAGCGATTCTTCTTAAGAGGCAAACAGACACAGGAAGTGGTTGTAATACCAAGTTCTTAGACATTGTTCAAATAAGTACAAGCTAGAAACTCACGTGCAGCCGTCTGTCTCTTCTGTTGACTAATCGCTTCGTGATATAGTACCAAATCACTTTATTTTACATAATTATTATAATATCAGCTAAAAATGTTTCCTTTAAAAGCACATTTATTATCATTAATAATTCATATTTAAAATGTATTTCCACATCACTTATTATAATATCAGCTAAAAAACAGTCCACCCAAAAATGAAAATTAGCCCATAAATTACTCACCCTCAAGTCATCCTAAGTGTAAATTTAATAATCCATTGAATCTAGCTTGCGCTCACTGTTGTAAACAGAAGCAGTTCCGGGGGAATGACGTATGAGGTCGGCTTTGCGCATGCGCCGCTCAGACGTGACGCACGCGGAAGCGCAGGGGAGAGATCAAAACAAAACTACGGTCATGAATTAGAAGTACAAAACGAGGATTTGTAAAGAAGAATGTTGGAGGATTTTGATATAAGCCAAGAGGAGACTGGTTTTCCTTTGCTACAGTAAGGAAACTTTGCTTCCTTTGCTCCTATAAACAAACGTTGGTTTTCACGAGACTCACCGGCGCATGTGCAACGCCGACGTCTTACGTCATCCTCTCAGAGCTGCTTCCGTGCACAACTGTTGGCACAAGCTAGATTAAAGTGATTATTACGTTTTGAATATGGATATTTTTCTTACAAAAACGCATCGATTCACTACAGAAGGCCTTTGTTCACCCCCCGGAGCCGTGTGAGACACTTTTTTT